CTCCCTCTCTCAAGCAATAATTTCCTTTACAGATTAAAAATACAAAATATGGATACAATTTTGAATATATGAAGTAAAAAAAGGAGATGATTTAGAGATTTTGGGGGTGGAGGAAGTATATTGGTACAGATAATTAAAAGAAGAAGAAGAAGAAAACAATGTTGGAAGAAAATTTCCAACTGGCTATACATTTCCTAATTACTAACGGGGACCAACATGAATGTTAGGGTTAACGAATTGGGTGAAATTCAGAGAAATGAAGAAGTAACGGGAATTGCTTACTGGCTACGATGGGGAGAGGTGCGGGGAACGAGGGAGAAGCGGTGACGGGCGGTGTGGGGAATTTGGGGCAGCAGATTCTGAGGCCGCTCAACTGCGAGCTGACGAAGCCAAGATCCGCTGAAAGTCAAAATCAAAATCATTGATTTCACAAACACAAACAGAGAATAAAAGATGAAGAATGGAAGAAAGAAGGAAGAGAAGATGAGTGTTACAGGGTTTGTTGAGACCGAAGCTGTTCCTAAACGACACCGTACAGCTTGCAGAACTCGCCATTGCCATTGCCATTGTCATTGCTTCTGCGTTTGTTATCTCTTCAAATTTCCTACTACTTGGTACCCACACACCATGCGCTGCACCCGGATAAGATGAAAATAAAATATTATAATTAATTTTATCCATATTATATCTAAAAATATTTTTTATTTATTTATGATTTTTCAATTTTTTTTCTTTTGAATAGATAGGCCAGATGCACCTAATTTTACGATAAACTTAGATATATAAGATTTATAAATTATAAGAGAGGATAATGATATTTAATCATAAAGGCTTTTTTGATTTTGGAAGATGAAATTCTGTGGAAACTCTGTTAAATGTTGTTTAAGTTTTGTGAGTAGTGACAAAGAATTACTTCATTCCATGCAACCCAATAATAGTTTTACTTGTTATTATTATTCTTTTTTCAATTTAATTTGAAATCTAACAACTTGTAAGAAAGATTTCAAATGATTTAACCTAACTATATATAAGAAAGACGAATACTACTATTTTAAATTATCTCTCGTCTCCATGTGAATCTGCAAACTATGATCCTTTTAACGAAATCAAAATCAATGTAATAAAAAAAATATTACATTGAACTTTTTTTTAACAAAATTAAAAATTATATTGAAAGCACAATTTTAAAAAAAAAAAAGAACTCAATGAATAATTTTGAAAATTATAACTATTATACATAAATTGATTAGGTAAGTTTGTTATTATTATACAAACTTTATTTGTATTTAATGAAAAGTTTGTCTGGACTATGAATTGTTCAAGTGTCTCTTCCTAAATGCAACCAATTTTCATTATATAAGAGTGACTCAAGAATTTGAAAAAGTCTAAAACAAACATAAAAATAATATCAGCTTTAAAACCATTTTTTGAAGGCATAAAATAATTAGTACTATTTTTTTAAAACATTTTTGTTAAAATCTAAAGTAATTAATATTAAAAATATATTTTTGAGACTTTTATTTAAGGTCTAAAACAAGAGTTTTATAGGCCTTGAACCAACCCTATCACTATAGAATATGTCTTGTTTCTTTTTTCTTTCATTTTAAGATATTATTTAACAAAACACGGTTATATATATAAAATTAAATTCTTACAGAAATTAAAATCAAAACTAATTATCTTACAAAGACTACAGTATATTAAAGTTATAAGAAATTTAATCATTTAATTTATCGCGTTAGAAAAAAGATACTTGTGAAAAAGTGCTTTTTTGTACTAAAAAAATACGATGTTTTTATAAATCATTAAAAAAGTCAATAGAATTTCTTAGTCATAAAAATGATAATAGACAAACTTTTATAAAAATATCACTCCTTTGACAAACGCAACAAACTTTTCTTGATGTTCCTTTCCAAGAGTTAAAAAATTGAGAAGGTGTGAGTTGTTAAACTTCTTATCATATAGAAAAGCAGAAAGTACAGAGAAATAATGCACACAATGATGAATCCAATGCCAAAAATTATGGTACTTGTTTCCCAAGCCACCTTGCATACAAAGAATCATCTTTATGTACCAGAAAAAGATTAAGTCCTAATCATGATCATCACACAAATGGAAAAGTAAATAGACAATGGCTATGTCATTCTCATTCTTTGCAAATTGTTAATGGACATGTCCCATGATCCTACCTGTATTCATCGGTTCCTTTGTCCATTCAGACATCCTTACTTTAGAAAAGCAAAAGCCCTTTGAGGTTGAATATGTTTTCCCAAAAGCTCAACAACAAACAGCATAGGAACAATGATGGTTTGTTATAACTTGTTAAATTGTAATGACAGCATTTTTTACAACATTTTAAAGAACACATATGCATAGGGTATATAGGCTAAGGCTGCTTAATAATCATGGACTCACCGAAAGTGAATGCTGTTTGGTCACATTATCTTAGATTATGAAGCAATCATGGTCTAAGTTTGTAATGCCAGATAGATAAAAAAGAGATGAAGTTTTACATGTGATCAATTACTTTAAGGGTGTGATAATTATGCAAACATATCTGACCCAGAATGAAGAATATGGAGCAAGCAAGACCATGTTACTGGCTATAAACACTCTGGCAATGTCGCATAAATGAAGCTGTCCTCAAATGTCTAAAGTTAAGAGCATGTGAACATCATCATCAGTATCACTATCATGGTATGGCATAGCCTTGTTGTTCTTGGAGATTTTTAACTCCGAGCCTTTTTAATTGATATATCTTGTTCTATTATAAGCAAATCAATCGTGTGGGGATTATAGCATAATCTCTTTGCATTGGTTATATTGCAGGATTTGGAAAGCTGAGCATGGGCAACGAAATGGGTAATAACAACACATCTGCTATCAAAGGTACATGTTTTTTTGGATTGCTGAAGAAATTTTGGTTAAGTACAGTACAATTTTTCCTGTCTTTAACTCTTAATTTCATTTTCCATTTTGCAGAGGAAGATAACTTAGGTGAAGCGGAGAAAAATGGTTTCCAAGACGATACTAATGAAA